ATTAGTGGGGAGCAGCACCTGTTGGAAAGCAGGTCCAGCGTCCCACACATTGAGAATTCAGAAATTCTTGAATAACACAGAACAGTGTTGCCTCTCCAGGGACTTGTTGAGTATAGGCCTCTTCACCCACTCAAGGGGGCGCCAGCTGTAACGTTTCCTAACTAGCCTTTCAACAATCCTCTTCAAGAGTATCTATTCCATACCATGACAGTGGTACTATTGCATTCTGGGGTAAGGGAAAAAGACATGAGAATTCATGCACCGGGCAGAGGGGGATTGATGGGTCTACCATGGTCCAATCATGGAACTTTAAATTATAGTTTCTGATCAGGGTCTGTTCTTTCTCGACCTCGGCTCCCTCCCATACCACTATTCCTATTTTTCCACCATTCTCCTCTCCAAGCCAGTTTCTGCTGAATTTTTGGAAGCTTTCTGTGATTTCTATTTTGGACGAGTTAAATTGAATTTTTTCTTTGAGACTGATCCATTGATCTTGTATATGAGTTTGAATTTGTTGCTTTATGCAGTCAGTGAATTCTGGACCATCTAGTCCGGCCTCCTCCCATTCATAGGTATTTCTTCTTCGCCAGATAGCCCACAGCACCGCTCTTCTGCCAAGGAGGAAAAGGTTTTGTGTGAATATATCATCTGTCTCAGGGGACCAGTGTTCTAGTAAGATCGCCTTCCACCCCCAAGGCCATTTTTGTTAGGTTTCCAATTGGTCCCAGATCCGGTCCCACCATCTCCATAGCCAGATTGAGCCTGGGCACTCAAGGAATATATGTTCAATCGTTTCTGGGATCTTTCTGCTTGGAAATGCAGACTTGCAGTCCATCCAAGCACACCGATAAACCCATTTAACCCATGAACTCTATGGACATCCCTTGTTCCCACCCTCCCGTAGCCCAAAAAAACAGTCGATTATTATGGGGTGGCCTCAGCCGCCCCTTGTTCCCACCCACCCATAAACCCATGTCATTGTGTCTTGACAATGTCGCGTTGTCATTGTATTGTTATTTACAAGTACTGTCTGGTTCTGTCTCCACTGCTCTGGCACCCTTCCAGCTGTGAGGAACGGTCTGTTGTTCGAGAATCGATGTATAGTGGGGGCTGGCTGCATCTTCTATCTCCGGGGAGTAATCCCCTCTGCTGCACCACCCGTGGGAAGTCCCTGCTTGGCCGGTCTTCTGCGATGGGATTGGGAAGCGGGTGTGGTCGGGAAGGGAGAGGAGGGGGGGAGTAGGGCAGGATTGAGGGAAGGGTTAGGGGGAGAGATTGGAAAGGTCCAAGAGAGAGAGAGGATTAGGAGCTGTGAGGGGGGATATCAGGCCGGGAGAAGGACGGAATTGGTCGGTTGGAATGGGAACTGAAAATGGCATCTTGGTAATCGTTCCCATTGTGGTTTCGTCCGTGTCCACTGTTTCCATTGCAGCTGATTATCATGATCCAATTCGCAGAGTTTTTTGCATTGTCCACCCAGATAGAGCGAAAGTTATCCGAGAGATAATTCCGTTTGTTTATATCTGATTCCTTCCGCAACATATTTCTGAGCTCTTGCCAGGCGTCATGTGTATTGACGATGATTGTTTCTAGAATCGAGGCCCGAGCCTCCATGAAACCATATGTATGTTGCGTGCGCTCATGCGCACATCTCATTCACCACGCAACCATTAGCATTGGTAGTCTTGTTACCGCCAGCAGGTTGAGACTAAATGGTGTTCACCTGTCCCTTTGTGGGGGCATTTCCCCCAAAAGGATGATCTTGAGGTCCCATGGTAGGTGGTTGCCAGTTAGATGATGCCATGCTGCATCCCACCATTGCCAGAGTTGAGCGACCATGGTGCAGTCCACCAGGCAGTGTTCGAGTGTAACTCGTTTCTTAGGGGAGGTCCCACCGCCGTAGGTGCAGAGTGGAGACAGCACACCCCAGTCTTCCAAATTTATTCTCGACACAATCCAGTCTGGGGTAGGAAGACACCTGTGGATGATCTCCCACTGCAGTGCCCGTAAGTTTGTAGGTCGAATGGCCGCGTATGAGGCCCATCTGATTGTATCCAAGTCTTCTGCTTTGAGAGGCGAATCCCTTGCCCATCGCAGTTTGATCGGTTCAGATATGTGTGTCGGTTTCCTTGCTATTTCGTACCCTTCCTTTACCGTTTACTGCCATATCTGCAGTTTACGGGAGTCCCCCCGTCCCATTCCCATTCTTGTGCGTTGAATGGTAGCTGGCAGAGGGGTACAACTGGCTCATACACGAAGGGTACTTTGTCATTATCACTGATCACACATATTCTGACGAGTCCTGCGACGGGTGTCTGACGGTCCAGGGTGTCTTGTCGGTCCAATTTGGACCATCTTTCTCCTGGGAACCCCAAGGCGTCATTGCGCCATGCATGTGCAAAGATTCCGTGTCACGACCTTTGCGGAACAATGACCATATTCGAGATAGGTGCTTAGCACATACATAGCACACATAGGCAAGCTCCCACTTGCCTACAGATCAAGTATAGGTGCTTAGCGCACACAACACACAAAGTGACATAGGCAAGCTCCCACTTGCCTACAGATCAAGTATAGGTGCTTAGCGCACACAGCACACAGAGCAAGTATCGGTGCTTCTCTCTCTCTCTCTCTCTCTCTCTCTCTCTCTCTCTCTCTCTCTCTCTCTCTCTCTCTCTCTCTCT